CTTTAGGCCCTGGTGTGTCCCTCCGGCCCTAAGTCGGGTCCGGTAGGACCCGTGTGACTCGAAGATGTAACACTCTCTCTCGGCGCCTGGCATCAATGGCTTTTTGGTGATCGTGGCTACGTGAAGAGTCCGAACAAAAAACAGAGTCTCTCTCTCTCTCTCTCTCTCTCTCTCTCTCTCTCTCTCTCTCTCTCTCAACCCCAACATCCCCCATGGCAGGCTCCATGCATTTAAAGTGCAAAATGAATTAAAATTGCAGAAAGCATATTTGCCACCCCGTTTTGCATGTGTGGATCTTCTACATATCATTAGTTGGTGCGTGGTGGCACTTTTTTCAGCTGCTAAGTAAATATGCAGAACCTCTGCAATAATTCTCTCTGCCCATTGCCTCTTCCCCCTTGTTTCCAAGCCAGCAACGACATCCCGCATTGATTGCCATATACCATGTATGCCTCCTCGTTACCCCGTTTTTCACACCTTGGCTTCAGAAAACCGGAAAAACAAAACTGAAAGGTGCAAAATTGCTGTCCATAAAATAGTTACTCTCACTGAGTGAATAAACTTCAGGAATATGGCTTTGCCCTCATGCTCAAAAACTGGTGCAGCAGCTGCTCCACCATGCGCTCCACCCACCACCAGCCAGCTCAAAACCAGTCCATCATGTCTGGAACATGGTCCAGCATATGCAATCTGCTTCAGGGGGTGTGAAGGTGCGGGAGGTTTGAAATAGGATCCAGGGGGTCTGAATCCAGTTAAGCAAGTCAAGATCCTGCGGTCCACAGCTTGTCTGACAACTGGTCCATCTCGAGAGAGGGTTAATGGAAGGCCCAAAATTCGGGGGGGGGTTGCCGCATCACCACAAACAATGTCCTCAAACATTTCGCGAACAAACAAAGCAGGATCGCCGAAAATGACACCACCTATTAACCATTAGTGCTGGTCCAGCATTGCTATGATGTGGTCCAGCTTGTCTGACACCTGGTCCAGCATTGCTATGATGTGGTCCAGCTTGTCTGAGAGCATTGCTATGACATGTTGCTCCAGCTATGCAATTAACAGGCACCCTCACTTTTCACCCCTAGGGTAACCTTCACCACCCTGAAAAGTGTAGTGGGGATCATGTTTTTTTTTGTTTTTTTGTTTTTTCCTTTTTTGGCCTGTTTTGTTTTTGGTCAGTTTTTGGTCAAGGTCTGTATGTGCCAAGTTTGGTGTTTGTTGGGTTCCTGGAGATGGTTGTTTTGGGCAGTGGTGAAAATTGTGAAAATCAACAAATTGAGATGTTGGTAAAATTTCATTAAAGTGCACTTTTGGCTTGCTGTTTTATATGTTTTTTTTTTTACAATATGTTAGTAAGAAGTGCA